CGGCAGGTCGCCTTTTAGTATTTTTGGCGCGTTGCCGCTCTGGAACGAAAACTCCCGTTCGCGGGACATCGCCTTTTCCCTGGGTTCTGTGCTTCCAACGCGCGTTGTTGTTGCGCCTACTACGCCGACGTGTGTTCAAGTGTCCTGTGGATTGGATTCTGTTTGTTCTCAACGCACCGCCCAGGGCATTATTTGTTAGCGTTCATTTGTTTTTTAGTTGAAACATTTTTGTTTTGTGAGCATTATGCGTGACAATGTTGCAGCCCGAACAAATGCAATCAGAGTGCATAAGTTCTGGATGATGCGTTTTGAAATGGAAGATTTGTCATTGATGTGGCAAGCTCCGCAGTCAACTTTGTTAATCCTTTAGCTTCACCGCAACCACTTGTTGTTTTACTCCACCGCAGCCATTTTGAGTTGTTTTTACCGCAGCCACTTTGAGATCTTTGAGATACGATGTCAAAGCTAGGCTGTTGCAAGGGGGGATCAGCATGCGATGTCTCACGATGCAGCGCGTGCTACTTTGAGAGAAACTTCGAGAAACTCAGCTTGGCACACCCTTGGTTAGAGCACCGAACCGAGCCAACCTTTGGAGTTGGGTGTAGTGTGTGTCGTCAGGCGTATGGGACTCATGTTGCATCAAAGAAGAGTGATCACATGCACTGGCGCCAGCAGAGTGTGACGAGCTACTTGGCTTTGCAGCCGAGACGTTTGACCAAACACGAGGAATCGGAGGTCCACAGGCGAGCAGCCTGCAAACACGTGCCAGATTTAGATGAAGCTTTGGCTCCAACCTCCAAGCAATTCAAAGATTTGCAGCAACATATCCGCACAGCGCCCATTGGCACTAGTGGCATTTCCACGGTGGGAGGCCAAAAAAAGTGCAGGAAACTGCTGTGGTGCCTCGCAGAGAGTCACAGGGAAGCCAAACGTGGTTTGTTTGATCCTGGCATGGGCGCTGATCAGCGAAAGGTGATTCATAGCACAACTCTTTTCCAGGATGCTCGTGCTGGGCGTTTGAGTCTTCGCTTTACCACTGCTAGCTCCAAGTTGGTTCGTGAAGAAGGCTTTTTTGGCACCTCCGATTTGGGTGAGTTTGGATTGGACTCTGTCGCGTTGATGAACGCAACCATGGCAACTTTGCGAAGATTCTGCACTAGATTTCACAGTCCTCCCCATCTCGAAAAGCCTCATTCAGCCAGACTGGACCCAGAGCTGTTTGCGCGTGTGGTAGCCTCGATTGAAGTTTATGTATCAGACTCTGCTTCAGACGAAATTCGAGCTGGCTTCATGCTGGCCAGGCAGTCAACTGCATTGCAATATATGCCACACCTGCCTTGTTTGAAAGTGATCGTTAGAGACAAGCCACACGCTGTTTGCAGAAACCTGTCGCGTCCATGGAAAGCGGACCCCTTCTTGGAGGAGGTGTCCAATTTCTTCGTGTTCGAGAGTGGAAGCCCGGTGAGGTTAATTCAATACTCGGAAGCTTTCAAGGCCTGGTTTGCCAGCGCTATCAAGCGCATTGATCCAGATGTGTCGGCGGTGTCAGCAAAGAAGGGCATGCTGGACTTGGGATTCGCGCCACAGCGGTTTGCAAGTGCTGCCAAACCTATGATGCGTGTTTGCCTGTTCTATCACGCATTTCTTACGACGGTGAACCGTATCGCGTGGGAACCTTGGTTATGCAAAATTCAATGGAAGTTTCAGTTACTTTCCAAGTGGTTTCATCAATTTTCCATAGAAATTAAGTAGGCAAATAGATAAATTCGATGTATTTTGGACACAATTTTTCTGGCGTTAGAGAAATTGACTTTTGGATTTTTATCAAATGCGCTCAGGAGCGTCGTGGGCAGCAGGAGGGGAAGAGTGCTGCGCAATTCTGCGGCTGGCTGGATTTGGAGAAGAGCGTTCAATTTGCTATGATGGCAGATTGCGCCAACGAGAACCTTTTGTTGATTCGTCTATTGGACTATCAGGGCTTTCCTATTGATGAGTTGCCAAGCTACCTCATGACTTTCAAAGATCGCATTCGAGCCCTTTTTACAGGACCCACGCCAGCTTGCTTATCTTCTGGTTGCTGTGGACACATGCTGAAAGTGTTGCGGCACAGCCTTTCGCTTGCTGTGCCAGGCCAATCCAACCTTGTTCTCGGAGGTGGGCATGTGCCGGACGACGTGCTGCAGAGATGCCTGAAGCGCATGCAAAATTGGATCGTTCTAGTAGAAAACACTATAGACGCTGAATTCCCTCATTATGAAGTTCTTCAAGCGTTTGGGGCGTTCAACCTGAGTCTTGGCGTGAGAAGTGTTTTCGTTCCATCTGTCGACTGCTTCAAGCCTTTGGGCTACCTGATACCGAGCGCGGTGAAGCCCACAAACAGTTTTTGCAGCTTTGGTACATGTCCAAACGGGTTGTGGACGACGAGGGGGTCTCATCTGTGCAAGCTTGGCTGCAAGCAGCGCGCCGAGCTACTAGGACCCACAACAAAATCAACCTTGGTGCTCTCATGCCATTGCTGGTGCACTA